GACATCAGATCTCCTGCAACTGGAGCTACAGAGGGTTGTAAATGGCCCCATGGGAGCTGGGAATTGAACCCAGCTCCTCCGGAAGAGCAGCCAGTGCTCTTAACTGCTGAGCCATTTCTCCATCCTCCCAAGCAAATATTTTTAAAATTTAGCAGGAACATCTTACAAACTACCAAAAGGCCTCCACCTTTACACTTTCATACAGAGACGGCCCAGAGCCTAGAGAACCCAGACTCCCATGACTCCAATGAAACAAAGCTTTGATTTTTTTTTTCTCTTACCGGAAAAGTCCTACTACAGATGCTTTAGCCCATGCTTGAAGCACCTTTCAATTTATATAAAAAATGAAAAGGCTGTAAAAAGTGGTTTCATTAAAACATTTACATTTGCTTGGTTTATGTGCACGTGTGTGTGTATCTATCTACGCACGCGTGTGTCACGGTGTGCAAATGAGTGTCAGAGGACAGCTTGTAGGAGTTGGTTCTCTCCTTCCACCATATTGGCCCCGAGTATTGGACTGGGTTTGGCAGGCTTGGCAGCAAGAGCTTTTACCCGATGAACCACTTTGCTGGCTCAAACTGCTTTTCTAGTTAAGAACTATGGCATACCACTCTTCATTCCCAAGGCCAGCAGCTGCCACTCCATCACTGTGCTGCCTCCCTCATCCTGATAGCATCCTTCTGATTATCATAGGCAGCTAGGGATGACCTCTTAATTTTTATTTTATTTATTTATTTTACATTCCTTTATAAATTAATTTTTATTAGCTACATTTTTCATTTATTTTACTTCCTGACTTCAGCTTCCTTGTCCCCTCCTCCCATACCCCCTCCCCTCTGCCCACTCTTCCCAATCCACCCCTCCTCTACCTCTGTTCAGAAAGGGGTGGGCCTCCCATGGGTGCCCGATAAAGCATGGCATATCAAGTTGAGTTGGGACTAAGTTCCTCTCCTTCTATTAAGGCTGGACAAGGCAATCCAGCATTAGGAATAGGTTCTCAAAACCAGTCAAAGCATTAGGGACAGGCCTGCTCTCACTGCCAGGAGCCCCACAAGTATACCAAGGTACACAACCACTACACATATGCAGAGGGCCTAGGCAGGTACCACGTAGGCTCCTTAGCCTTTGGTCCATAGTCTGTGAGCTCCCATGAGCAAGTCAGTTACTTCTGTAGTCTCCCTTTTGAGGATCCTGATCGTTCTGGCTTATATAATCCTTCTTCATTCCCTCAATAGGTTTCCCTGGGCTCAGCCCAGTGCTTGCTTGGCTGTGGATCTCTGCATCTGTTCCCATCAGTTACTGGATGAAGGCCCTCGGATGGCAATTGGTGTAGTTACCAGTCTGATTACAGGAGATGGCCAGTTCAGGCTACCTATTCCCTATTGCTAGAAGTCTTAGCTGGGGTCATCCTTGTAGAATCATGAGAGTTTCCCTTGCACCTGACCCTGAAATGCCCGCCCCTCCCATCAAGTCACCTCTTTTATTGCTCTCTCCCTCCCTACACCTCTCAGTCTTATCCCTCATGTTCCAGTGCATCCCCATCACAGTTCCCCCTCCCCCCACTCCTTTCAGTCCCTCCTCCCTTTTCCCGAGATCCACTCCTCCTCCATTTCCCTTTAGAAAAGAGCAGGCCTCCCAGGAATATCCAATATACACAGCATAACAAGATACAGTAAAGCTAGGCACAAACCTTCATGTTAAGGTTGGGCAAGGCAGTCCAGTAGGAGGAAAAGGATCTCAAGAGCAGACGAGAAAGAGTCAGAGATCCTGCCCCCCCCCCCCCACATTAGGAGTCCCATTAAAAACACCAGGCTAACTAACCACAGTATGTATTCAGAGGACATAGCGAAGACCCATGCAGGCTCAGTGATGGCCACTTCAGTCTCTGTGAGCCCCTATGAGGCCAGCTTAGTTGATGTCTGTGCGCTGTGTTCTCCTGGTGTCCTGGACCCCTCAGGCTCCTCCAGTTCTTCCTCCTGCTCTTAGGAGGTGAGCTCTAAGGGGAGGGGCTGGATAGAGATCTCCAATTTGGGTTCTTTCTGTCTGCCCAATGCTTGACTGGGATGACCTCTGTATTTGAGGGGCAGTTGATTCACAGCCTCTGTGTGTATTTACTGCCTTAATTCCCCGCCAGGAGAGACCATATGCTTTCCAGTTCTTGGGACTAGGATGAGGACGTCTTTGGAGAGCTACTTCTCTCAGTGGCAACATTCATTCTCAGTGGATGAAAGGTTGTCTGTGGTAGATTTTAGGGACAAAGCCTGAGCCCTGGTACCCCCAATGAGTTGAGTTTAGTCACCTGTCCTTGAGACAGCAATTGTAGAAATAAGTAGTAGTGACAAGCAGAGAAATTTGCTCACTGTGGCCACACTAGAAAAAGGAACAAATGAAGAGGCCCAGTGACCACAAGTCCTTCTTCTAGACACTGACTGACAGGAGGCTTAGGCTTAAACAGAGGCAAAGGGTGGGCATAGTTAAGTAGTTCTGGTCAGGGTGTGGTCTTGCTAGTAAATTGATCACTCATTGTCTGGGCTCCATCGCGTCCTGAAAGAAGTCTGACAAGTCAGAACTGTGTGAAATCTCCCTGCGAGTCACATTCCTCCTCTGGTTACCGCCAGCCTTTCCGCTTTTCTAGTGTGAGATTCTCCAGGCAATTTCGGAGTCCTCGGTGTCCACTGCCTTAGCGGTCTGACAACCCAGAGGCACTCTGGCAGGCACTCTCTAGAATATTTTTGCTTCTGTCCGGATGATTACAGTCTGAGGGGGAAGAGCAGAAAGAAAACTCCCAGTCACTTCGGTTTTCTTGTACCCTCAGGAGCAGATCAAGTATTGAGCGGGACTAAGCTCCCTCAGGAAGACATCTACCCATGGGGACAGAAGAAATGTCAGGACACTGCTCTGAGGGTCAGGAAGCAGAGCTAATTCCCCCTTCCACTAACTATGCTACGTACGAATGTTGCTAGAATGTCAAAATCCTCCTGCTTGAACTTGTCTGAATCAGGTTTTATTCTACTTTGGCAAACCTTGTAAGGAGCATCATAAACATGTTTCTGAAAAACTTACTTTTAACTTGTTGTCAGGAGAGGTAAAGAGGTCTGGCTCAGATCTGAGTTCCAACCCTAGACACCATCACTCAGACCCCAGGGGCTTGCTGGCTAGCCATCTTAGCCTACTTGGTGAGTTCCAGGCCAGTGAAAGGGTCTGCCTCAGAACACAAGGCAGATCATGCTTACAGAATGACAAATGAGATGCCCTCTGGCCTACATGTATAAACACATACATGTACATGCATATCTGTACACACATGTACACTTGCACACACATGAACACCCACACATAGGGAAAGAAGGAGATGCATTTTTTGCTTAAAAGGGAATATCATAAACTAGATATTTGTATTTACAAAAGAAAAACGTGAAAGGGCGGATCAGGCTCAGGGTGTTTTCGCCGAAGTGCCCCCACCCCCCTCAAAGGCCTCATCAGTCACGATGCCACAGAATCCCAACATCAATCTCTCTGAGACACCCTTGAGTTTTTTCATGGACTAGGACTGACTGACTGCAGCCTCCAGACTGGGGAAGGAGGGAAAGTGCTGGCAGCAGAATCCCTAATTAATAGAGGGATTATCAGTAGCTTTAAGTCTCTTTGACACCTCCCCCCCCCCCCCCCCCCCCCCCCCCCCCCCCGCCCCGCAACTTTCTTTATCTTGCCTCTTTAGTCTGTAGGGGAGAGACGGGGAAGAGGGAGGAGAGACTTCCCTGGGCTACAGGGGTTCCAGGGCTGACCGGTCGTGCGTGCCTGACTTGTAAGAAGAGAAATACATGCTCGTCAGAATATTAAGAAGTGCAAGGAAGAGAAGAAGAGGCGACAGTTGGAGTCAGGACCAGAGCGAACGCTTTAGGAGTTCCAATTGTCACAAGATCAGGAGATCTTGCTGCACCAGGTGTCGTCCCCCCTCCCCCCAAGTTGCAGCGTATCCCGCTCTGGATCCTTGCGAACTAGCAAGTCCCGCTCCCGGCCCACGAGCCATTGTGCCCGGCAGGAACCAGCGACTGGAGGGTAGAACACCTGCAGAAAAAAAGTAGAGGAATCAACAGCCTCGAATGTTTGGGGAAGTAGAGCCAAAGGAGAACTTTAATTTTTTTGCCTTGACTTCTTCCCGATGCCTCCATCACCCCCTCCCTCCGCTCTGAGGATCGCAGTCGCTTGGCCGAGGTGAAGCCCCTGAGGTGGCGATTCCAGCAAAAACCGAGGGACTTCCAAGAGGAGAGGGAACCTGCAACAGTGGAGTCTGGCGTGTCCCGAGAAGGCCCAAATGGGGTCGGGGAGGTCTAGGGGGACATGGGACTACATCAGATTTCCTTCCCTGAGTGGCGGTAAGAACTATAAACGCCCCTTCGAAGTGAAAAATAAGAAAAAAAAAATAGTTCTTTCCTTTCCCTTAAAGTTAACCAAGGTTGTTGGCTGCTGGGGGGGGGGGGTGTCCTGGTCCCGAACAGGGCTGTTTTTTTACACAGTGCCCCACCCCGTGCGACGTCAGCACGCTCAGCTGATATAAGGACCAGAGCCCGAAGGGTAGAGGTCTCCACTCTGGAACGCGGAGACTTCAGCACTGACACCAGGAGGCAGACGCCCTGCGAAGGACAGACGTTGGCAGGTAACCGGTCCCCCGCGGTCCCTTGCACAAGTTTTCCTAAAACCCAGAATCATCGGGGTCGCTCCCCCAGCCCCCCGGAGGTTGTGGGAAGTCAGGGGACGGTGCCTGGAATTTCAGAGTTTTCTTCCCACTGGGAGGACCAAGCTGGGAGGCTTGGGAAGAGGAGCCCAAACCGTCCCAAACCCAGTTTTGTAAGACCTGTCTTGCTGCACTGAGGGCAAACATCTGAATCTGCTACCCGGGAGTCCTGAGGAAGAAGGTCCTGTCCCCGGGGAGGGGAGAGATAGTGTCGGGTATATACCAGAGCGGCCTCTAGGCTCCCCGCCTTAGGGTTCGACTGACCTTCAGGGGAGCCCAGTACTGATGACGACGGGTTAAGTAGAATTCAGTAGGCAGTATCATTAAGCAGGTCTGCGGAGTGTAACTCTGAATCCCTTTAACACGGGGTGGCTCTGAAAGCAGAAGTGAGAGAGGAAGGGAGGGGAGAGATGGAGGGGTTTGTAGTAGTGTCTCAGGTCCTTTTTCTGAAGGGTTGGGTGAGGTGATGGCTGGTGGTTCAGAGGCAAGCTCCTAAGAGGAAGTGGGTGCAGTCTTTGAAAAGTCGCCTGGCCCTCCCTACCCAAAGGATCAAAACTGGGTTTGTCCTTACGGGGAAATAGAAACTGATCCGATCTCTCTCTCCCTCTCCCTGTATGTGTGTTTGCAGGGCAGGCAGAGGGGAACTAAGGGTTCCTGTGACTCCATCAGTACCAGAGCAGCTGCTTGGTGCCACAGCATCCTGCGCCAGAAGGGTTTAAATGCTTAGTGTGACAGCATCCTGAGCCAGAAGGAAGGGTTTAAATGCCAGACGGCATTTAAAAACTTGTGGTGAGTTTCACTTTCTTTGTGCAAACAAAAGAAGAGAGTGACGTGATCACGTGCTTTCCTGGCTGATGGGAATTGTGCTCATTAGAAAGCGGATATCCATTTCAGAATTATCTTGGTGGGAGGACTTTTAGTAGTCGCTGTTGGGACCAAACAACTGTCTCGGAAGCCCTGGTGTCTTGGAGGATTACTTTGTTAGTAACAATGTGAAACAAAACACAACAGAAAAACAAACAAACAAACAAACCTACTCTCAAATTCCTTGAGGCGATTCCATCCAGCGCTTAAGTAGCTGTAAGGGAGAATAGGCTCTTTCTCCACAATAGGTTATCGCTGAGAAGGGACTTGGTGGGTCTGAGAAGTCTAAACTCACAACAAACAAGGGAACAGGAAGACAAAAATTGGAGGCATCTAAAAGTTCCAAAGTCTTAAAGTGATGAGTCCTACTCCCTTAATCCCAGCACTGGAGAGACAGATGCAGGTGGATCTCTGTGAGTTCAAGAGACGCCTGGTCTGTGTGGTAAGTTCTAGGTCAGCCAGGGCTGATAGCAAGACCCCGTCTTTAAAAAATAGTCTCAAAGTGCAGTATGCAGAATTAGAGCCATTGATTTTTTTTAAATCATAGATTTAGTTTCTATAGAAAAAAATCAATAGACTCATGAATTTCCTGGTGGATTTTGAACTCATAATATCCCAAAGAAATATTTTAAATTTGTGTCTTTAAGATAATTTATGCATGTAGTCTTAGATAGATTTATTGAGGCATTACTGAATCCAAGCCAGGTTGGCTGGAAAGCAGCCACCGAGTCTTCTCTCTAGCATCTCCTTTATCCATTGTAAAACTGGGTTTCTTGCTTCTTTTCTCCCCTCCCTCCCTCCATCCCACTTTTCCTCCCTTTCTCCCATTCATCTTTCTCCCCACCCCCTTTCTTTCTTTAGACAAGGTCTAGCTATATGTCCCAGCCCAGCCTAGAAATCCTACCTCCACTAAGCATGGGGTTTCAGGTCACCAAGGTTGTCACCAAGCCCACCTTCCTGGCTTTGTTTTGGTTTCTGGTGGTTTCTAAGAACAATCTCAGGGGCCTCCCATAAGCAAGGTAAGTGCTGTGCCACACCCTGGCTAGCTCCTGTTTTCTTATTGTCTTTTGCATCTTTTGGATGTAATTTAGATACAAATTCTTCATCAGAAAAAATAATTTGCAAACATCTTCTTTCATCCAAGTACTTATATTTTCATTCTCAACAATATCTTTCAAGAAGGGAAATTCTTATAGTTCAGTATGTTGGTTTTCTTTTTTCATTCGTTCGTTCGTTCATTCATTCATTCATTCATTCTTTTTTTTTTTTTTTTTTTTTTGAGACAGGGTTTCTCTGTGTAACCTCGGCTGTCCTGGAACTGACATTGTAGACCAGGCTGACCTTGAACTCAGAGACCTGCCTTCCTCTGCCTCCCTGAGTGCTGGTATTAAAGGTATGCACTACTACTGCCTGGCTAGCTTTTCTACTTTTTTTTTTTTTTTTGTTATATGGCATATTTTAGTTCTTTAATTCAATTTGACTTTTAAACTGTTTTTAAATTTTATTTATTAGATTTAAAAAATACCAATTCAAGTTCCCACTCCCTCCCCTCCTCCCATTCCCTCCACACATCTTCCCACCCTACCCCCATCTAATACTCAGAGAGGATAAGGCACATTGTCTTGTGGAAAGGTCCAAGGCCCTCCCTACTATATCTAGGCTGAGCAAGGTATACATCCAAAGAGAATTGGATCCCAAAAAGCCAGTACATGCAGTAGGGATAAATCCTGGTGCCACTGTCAGTGGCCTCTCAGTTTGCCCCAGCCATGCAACTGTCAACCACTTTCAGAGGGACTAGTTTGGTCCTATGCTTGTTCCTTTCCAGTCTGGCTGGAGTTGGTGAGCTCCCATTATCTTAGGCAAACTGTTTCAGTGGGTGAACCCATCATGGTCTTGACCTCCTTGCTCATATTCTCATTCCTTCCACTCTGCAACTGGACTTTGGGAGCTCAGTCCAGTGCTCTGATGTGGGTCTCAGTTGCTGGATGTAGGTTCTATGGTGATATTTAAGATAATCATCAGTCTGACTACAGGGCAAGTCAAGATTGCCTTCCCCCCACCCCAGTGTTGTAGCAAGCTCTTGGTCCCTCTTAAGTCCCCTCAGTATTGGAGCAAGCTGTGTTTCAGAGTTCCACCAAGGTTGCAGGAGGATAGGCAGGTTTGGGGGTGAGGTGTGGCTAGTAGTTTGGATAGCAGCTGGATGGGTTTGGGTTTGGAGGGATCCTAGCCCTCTTTTCTATTTTTTAAAAAAGATTTATTTGTTTGGGGCTAGGGAGGTGGCTCAGCAATTAAGAGCACTGACTACTCTTCCAGAGGACTTTGATTGATTTCTAGCTCCCACATGGTGGTTCATAACCATCAGTAACTCCAGTTTCAAGGAATCTACTCCCTCTTCTGGCCTCCGCAGGTACTAGGCACACACATACATACATGTGGACCAAACACCCAGCTACATAAAGTAAAAATAAGCTGGGTTATGGTGACACACATCTTTAGTCCCAGCACTTTGGAGGCACATTCTTGTGGGTTTGAGACCAGCCTGGTCTACAAAGCAAATTCCAGAACAGCCAGAGCTGTTACACAGAGAAATTCTGTCTGAAAACAACGACAACAACAACAAAACCCAACCAACCAAATGAATAAATAACTTTTAAAAAGACTTATTTTATATGTCTGGAAGTTTGACTTACCTGCATTCCAGTTCACCATTTGTATTAGTGCCCTTGGAAGTTAGAAGAGGGTACAAGATCCACTGGAACTGGAGTACAGACAATTGTTAGACACCATGTGGGGCTGGGATTTGAACTAGGTCCTCTGGAAGAGTAGTCAGTACTCTTTCACTGAGTCATCTCTCCATCCCTTTCTTTCTATATTATGCATTTAATGTCATTTATAAGAAATGTCTGCCCAAACTATGGGAAGAATATTGAGACACACACAAACACATGGGGAGGGGGAAGAAAGAGAGGGAGAGAGAATAAGATTTTGACTACACTCTGTAGCAACTGGACCACAATCCCCGATTGTTCAAAAGCTGGTTGGGTAATAACTGACAACTTCCTTAATTTTGCCTCCACTTTCAACTCAGAAAACCAGTAATGTTCCCCAAACTAATCATGAAGGACGATCTATTTCTAGCAGTTTGCCTCTTTCCCCACCGACAGCAATCTCAGTCAGACCACACCCAAGCCTTCCTTTGTGGTTCCTTAGCAGGCTTTCCCACTCCCTGCCTGTAGTGATGGGGCGACCAGGCCTGCTTTTCCTCCTGCTTGGCTCCTGCATGGCTAGCTTATACCCCGAAATAACAACACACAAATTATATTCATTTAAACACTGCCTGGCCCATTAGTTCCAGCCTCTTATTGGCTAATTCTCACATCTTGATTAACCCATTTCTATTAATCTGTGTAGCACCATGAAGTGGTGGCTTACCGGGAAAGATTCATCATGTCTGACCTGGCGGCTGGCTCCATGGCATCTGTCTATCTCTGCTTTCTCTCTCCCACAATTCTGTTCTGTCTTCCCTGCCTACCTAAGTTCTGACCTATCAGGCCAAGCAGTTTTCTTTATTAATTAACCAATGAAAGCAACAGATAGAAGACCCACCTACATCACCTGCCTGTCTTTGGATTCTAGCCAAAGCAAGGGATGGTGGCCGAATCCCTTATTATAGTTAGAGCAGAACCAATATTACGTTCTCAAGTGAGTGCTCTTATTAACTTATATCCACAGTTCCTGAGAGGTCCCAACAAGACGTTGTGCCACCACTTGTAGCTTGAGATCCCAGCCTTTAGCCAGGTGAGTGTCCACAGAGCCTCTTTGGCCAGGTGAGTGCCCACAGCGCCTCTTTGACCAGTGAGTACCCATAGAGTGTCTTGCACATTGTTGCTAGAAACTGTTGGTTCTGCACTGATGTAGTGAGCAGGCACTGACTCTGAATTCTTTTTCTTTGTGTTGAGTTTGCAGCTATCTACTTTCAGTTTGGTACTTGAGTTTTGTTAGTGGTTCTCATATTGTGGAGTCCTTGCTAGGACCAGCTTATTCCTTTTTATCCCCATCTCTTTTTTGTGTTGCTCATAACAATGAGATTTGCAGGGCAGAACTGGCCTTACAGATCAATGAATTTGCAGTTCTCTCTAAACTGGTGTCCATTTAGACAAATAATCATAGGTCACTAATAAAACCAGGTATGGTTATTTATCTATCTTGATCCAAAAAGTCATCTATCTGGTTTACAGCCTCTTGAGGGTATGCAGATTGTAGAGTCTGGGGTGAAATGTTGGAGACATGAGATGCAGGTGGAGAGATACTTCTTTTCTTATTCTTCCCAATGATTGACAGCTCTTTAGGGTGTTGTAAGTCTAAATACCCTGCACATCTAGAAAATCTTCTTCTTCTTCTTCTTCTTCTTCTTCTTCTTCTTCTTCTTCTTCTTCTTCTTCTTCTTCTTCCTCTTCCTCCTCCTCCTCCTCCTCCTCCTCCTCCTCCTCCTCTTCCTCCTCCTCCTCCTCCATTTATTTATTTTTGTTTTGTTTTTCAAAACAGGGTTTCTCTGTATAGCTTTGGTGTTTGTCCTGGAACTAGCTCTTGTAGACCAGGCTGGCCTCGAACTCACAGAGATCCGCCTGCCTCTGCCTCTCGGGTGCTGGGATTAAAGGTATGCACCACCACTTCCTGGCTAGAAAAACCTGCTTCTTAAATATTTAGAGTATACATTAAACGGATGTCCTTATTGTTCCAAATAGTCACTGATTTTCTTTATGAGTTAGAGAACTCCAAATTCTTCCAGGTATAGCTGTAAGCATCCTGTTTCAATCTCCCTGATCAAATTTGCATTGCATGGATACTCTGTATGTGGGCATGCAGTGTCTATCTCTGTGTGTGAATATGTGTGTGTGTGTAACTTTATGATCCAGTGGAAAACAGCTGGATCAGAGGATTCAAAATGATCTGTTCAATAGCAATGATGACAAATTCCTAACAAAATTGATTGGGTTAAGAAGATATACTTAAAAATCCCCCATTCTCAATCAGTGGAGAGAGGCAAAGGACCAAGAAAAATGTCAAAAATCAGCATACAGCAGAGATTGCATTTGGCTAAGCAAGCTTCCTACCTGAAGCCCACAAGTACTACCAGAAAATTTCCTGGGTTTTGCAAATGACCCAAGAGGCTGCCACTCAGAGAACTTGACCAAAATAGTTTTCCAAATCACAGTGAGCCTCACAGATGGCTCAATGAGTAGAGGTGTTTGCCCATAGGCCTGGCAACCTGAGTTCTACCCCCAGATCCCACAAGGTAGGAGAGAACTGACTCCTGAGAGCTGTCCTCTGACCTCCACATGCATGTGTTGTGACATGTGTGTATACACACATACACACAGACAGACACACACACACACACAGACACACACACACACTAAAATTTAAAAAGAAAGCAAAATCGGGATGAACTTGTGATCAGTTCTGCGGTGAAAATAGGCATCCCACAGACTTAGCTTCTTTCATGAAGCTGGCCTCAGGCTGTGTAGGGATAAAGGGCCAATTTCAGAAAGGTGTCCTTACATCTGTTTTCTCGCCTCCTCATTCTTGTCCTGTCCTAATGGTTCTATCTTTCCCCCTTTCAGGGAAACATTTCAATTAACAGTTGAGAAGATGAATTTCTTGGAAGGTCCAGAGTCGAGCTTTGCTGAATGTATCACAGATGGAGGAAAAGCCACCCTTGGGGTTAGGCAAAGGGCGGGAATGGACCCTGCTCAGCGGATGAGACAGAATGAGGCCATCTCGCAAGCAGTGTGTGCTCTGCTGAATTCTGGTGGGGGAGTGGTCAAGGTTGAGATCGAGAATGAAGACTACAATTATGAGAGTGATGGAGTGGGCCTGGATCTGCCGCCATTGTTCAGAAATCATGTAGATGAGATGCTGCAGGGAAAACTCTTTTTACTATTTGTGAACTCATGGAACGTGGCAGCCTCAGGTGTGCGGCTCGCCACCTTGTGTTCCAATCTGTACCATAGACGTGGAACATCTACTGAGGTCATGGATTCTCTAGAAGCCCTACTATTCCTCCGAAGAAAGGTTCAGGCTTGTGGGAATTTTGATGATCCCAACTTATTAAATCCACAGGCACTTGCGGTTGATGATCAGGTGATCTTAGCTTCTGATTTATTTGGTAAACAGCAGCTTCAGTACCTGGAAAAACTCAGCTTTACAGAGTCCCTACACGTTGAATTTCAAATGTTCTCGGCAGACCTTTCCCAGGGCATTAAAGAGAAACTCCCCAAGTGTGTTTCTGCGCTTGCCAATTCTGAAGGAGGATATGTGTTTTTCGGTGTGCATGATGAGACCCGTCAAGTCATTGGATGTGAAAAGGAAAAGGTAAATCCTTCCACCTTGCGGACTACTATTGATGGCTGCATCAGGAAGATGCCTGTCCACCACTTCTGCTCACAAGACCACAAAGTGCAATATGACATCAACGTCCTTGAAGTGTATGATAAGGGGGCTCTCCGTGGGTACGTCTGTGCAATCAAGGTGGGACAGTTCTGCTGTGCAGCGTTTGCCAAAGTGCCTGACTCCTGGGAGATGAAGGACAATCAGAAGAAGCAGCTAGCCACAAAGGACTGGGCAGCTTGGATGATAGAAACTGACTCAGGTCAGGGAACAAGACTGAAATATTAGAATATTTGCCGGGGGGGGGAGGGTGGGAAGGCAGAAAGAAAAAGGAGATGTGTAATTCTGTGGTATTTGGGGAAAGAGATTGATTCCTATAGATGTTGGGCCACTGTCCTTCCCCCTGACTGCTCATCTTGAATATTCTGTGTTCACCACAATGGCAGTCCCACTAGCGGCTGGTGCAGGGGCAATCTGAACTAGTTACTTCTATTCGACATTCTTTCTTTTCTTGTTTAATTGAGACAGCGTAGCCTAGGCTGGCCTCAGATTCAACACCCTCCTGCTGCAGCCTTCAAGTGTCTTGGCAACAGATGTGAACCACCATGCTTGGCACTGCTTGCTTCACGTGTGTGGTGAAACCTCTTCCTTTCTGATGACCAGCTTGTATTTAATTATTCAGCAAACCTCTTTTCCACACCAATAGCTGGATCTTTTCTAACTTCCTGACAGTTTCCTCTTCTCATGTTTAAAGCACTCTTAGAAAAAAATTAATTTTATTTTACATATATAGATACGTTACCTGCATGATAGCTGTGTAACATGTATGTGCAGTTCCTGTGGAGGCCAGAAGAGGGTATTGGATCCACTGTACCTGGAGTTACTGATGGTTGTGAGCTGCCATGTGGGTGCTGGGAACAGAACCTAGGTCCTCTGGAAGAATAGTCAGTTCTCTTAACTGCTGGGCCATCTCCCAACCCACAAAAATTATTCTTAATGCTTTCTTTGAGTTTTTCTTTTTTTAAAAAATATTTATTTATTTATTTGTTATGTATACAATATTCTTTCTGTGTGTATGTCTGCAGGCCAGAAGAGGGCACCAGACCTCATTACAGATGGTTGTGAGCCACCATGTGGTTGCTGGGAATTGAACTCAGGACCTTTGGAAGAGCAGGCAATGTTTTTAACCACTGAGCCATCTCTCCAGCCCCCTTTCTTTGAGTTTTTCATGAACAAACCACAATTTCCCCAAAGGACCTGGTTTTGGCTTCCATTCCATCTGTGCTGGAAATGCAAATATCTATAGATCCCAGCTTCGAGTTAACATGGCTCACCTAAGAAGCAGAATCTGGCCTCTGTATACTCAACTCTTATTTCTTGTTTCCTCAGATCTTTCCAGTTTTCCTCAGATGGTCGTCTCGAGGAGGACTGTACACACCACACCCCGCAGCAAGACTGTGTACATACATAAGAATTTGAAGAGTGTGGAAGAATTGCAGAAGGATTACTTTCCAGGTAATTGTCATCTCTGGCCACCAAAGGACATGTTGATTGTTCTTATATTTAGAGAAAAAAAGAACCCTTGATTTTTATGTCCATGGTTATTCATGGGGAAGTTTAGAGAGGGGTTGGAGCTATGACTTAGCAGGGAAAAGCACTGGCTGCTCTTTCAGAGGACCCTGGTTTGATTCCCAGCACCCACATGATGGCTTACAACTGCTACCACAATGGGTAAGTACATCACATTATAGTTACAGAATGGAACATAGCAGTGAAAATGGGTGAAGCGTGATTAATAAAAACTCAGAGACAGATATTGGGGTTCAACCTGAAGGCCAGAAAAGCAAAGTAGCCAGCCATTGGCTCTTACCTCGACTTCAGTCTGAAAATGGTGATCCTGCCTCCAGGAAACCTCAGAATGAGACTGAGAGCTGTCTCCTCCCATTTTATAATTCTCTCTAGTTCTGGGATTAAGGGGGTGCAAAACTACCTCCTGGTTTCTATGGCAAGCTAGTAGAGCTACTGGGATTAAAGGTGTGTGTCATTGTGGCTACTGGGATTAAAGGTGTGTGCCATCACGGAGGCCGCTACAAATGTGTTCATTAATTGCTATGTGCAAGCACAGGGCTGAGTGTAAACCATGTTCAGGCATACCTCGTCATGACCCTGTTCGTGGATAGTCTTGATTTTTTCATTGTAAAATGTTTCTAAACATTCTAGTGTTTCTAAACATGGTTTTTTCTTAGTTTTAGTTATTTCACTATGAAACTTTCTCATACAGACAGGACATAGAACAACGATACAATTTAATAAGTATTGCACCATGAAATTTGTATAACTACCACACAAATAAAATAGGTAACTAAACTCCACAAATGCTCTGCCATCATGTCTTTTTCAGATTCCCTTATTTTGAAAAAACTTTTTTCTCTTTATTTCTTTCTTCTCATCTTTCTTCTCTCCTTCCCTCTCTCTTTCCCTCCATCCCTCCCTCCCTTCCTTTCTCCCTCTCTCTCTCTCTCTCTTTTGTTTTTCAAGACAGGATTTTTCTGTACAGCCCTGGCTGACCTGCAACTCACTTTGTAGACCAGGCTGGTGTGGAACTCACAATTAAAGGCACGTGCCACAAGCCTGGCACCTTTTCTATTTTAAGCACTATGATACACATTTTCTATAAATAATCAATGTGTTCTAAGGATAAATTCTGAGCAGTAATGGTTGTTTATTCATTTAGATGAACATTGCCAAAGTGCAAACCAAAATATATGCCCAGACCCATGTTCATCAATGTGGTCTTACCATGGTGATTTTCTTCTAGAAGAATCTTAGAAGCATTTTGTTATATCAAAAAGAAAAGAGAAGAATCCAGTATTATTTTGATGGCCAATGTATGTAATCAGTGAGCTGATTTGGAAATAATTGTCAGTTTTACAATAGTAATTTTTTTCATAGTTCAACATGGATTTCCTGGTTGATTATACACAACTTCTCTTTTACTTTTGCTTAACAACCTATTATCATTTTATTAGCCCTGAAAGATAATATTGCTAATTAAACTATTAGATATGCGACTAGTGAAACATTGAAGTACATTTACAATCAATGAAATGTGGCATATGTCCCAATCATTTCAAAGATTTATAACATTGTTATTTTATATGTTAATGCCATTTTTAGAGTGTGTTCTTTTATGATTATAATTTCTTATGGTGATCTGCCCATATGCAGGAAAAGCTTATGGCTTTATTAAATTCTTACTTAATGAACGTATTAATGCAAAGAGAAAAGATGATTTTAAGTAACTTTTCCTGTATTCGTGATCTTTTATTTCTTTAGTTCATTGGTTAATTATTTCAAACACAATGTCAAATTAAAATAACAGTAGAAAAAATGTAGCAGGATACTACTGGGTCCAGTCTAGTATTTCTCTCTGCCCAGACATACTTTATTGGTGCGTCCAAGCTGTCTGTGTATCCAGCTAACTAAGCATCACCAAGATGTATCTCCTGTTATGACAACCTCCCATTTTTCTTTAGAATCTGCATATTGCTCTGTGTAAGCACTTTAAAAATTAATTGTTCAGAGACTGGAAAGACAGCTTAGCAGTTAAGAGCACTTGTTGCTCCTACAGGGACCCTGATTTGATTCCCAGCACCCACAGAAAGGCTAACAAACATTTGAAACTCCAGCACCGAGAGATCAGACGCCACCTTCTGGCCTCTGCAGGCACTGTACACACACAGTACACAGACATTCATGCAGACAAAATACCCATGTACATAAAAAATAAATCCTTTTTTTTTAAAAAAAAGGAAAAAATTAATTGTTCAAAATTCCATCTTTTGGAGTGATCATTGTACATTCAGTCAGACAGTCAGACACAGAAACATGAACATAACCTTGGTTCTACTTCGTACCTTGAATTTGAAGCACAAATTTTGGTTTGAATTTGATTTTTTTTTGTTTCTGTCTTTGTTTTTAGACAGGGTCTCACTATGTAGTCCTGGCTGTCCTGGAACTCACTATGTAGACTAGACTGGCCTTGAACTCACAAAGATCCACCTACCTCTGCCTTCCAAGTGTGAATTTGATTTTTTTGAAGTGTATCTATAGTTTGTGTTAGATTCCAGTCAGGGTTTATAACACTCCAGATTCTAAGAGACTCATATACATATAATATGTACCCAATAGGTATACATCATTTATTAATAGTATACACCCAAAAAGTCTTAAAGGTGTCTTGCATCTTTATATATACTCATACAACAACATATAAAAATCTTTTTAAAGACTTTTAAAAATCAGAATTAACCTCTTGAGGTAGACATTTTTGTGGTACAATTTGGGATGTTGGCACACCCATCATTTTGTGTAGCCACCATCACAGTCAGCACACAAAATAGTTCCATCATTCACAATGGAAATCTCCTTCATGCTGCCTCTCCTATAACCAAACTGCCCTAACCCCTAACCCGTGGCAGGTGTTGCTCTGCTGCCTACGCCAGTCAGCATGTGGCTTCTGCCAAGTGTCCAGACAGCTGCTAAATGCTTTCCCTGTGCCACCATCCCCCTCTTTTTGTCTCTCTCTTCTAGAAACACAAACTGGGTGAAGTTATCTGACTGAGCTGTGGTGTTTGTTGCCTCCACATTTATACATGCTTCTACTTTTTATAGTCAGTCTTACTATGTGGCCCTGGTTGGCCTGTAACTCAAATGAGATCTGCTCACCTCTGTCTCCTGAGTCCTGGGATTAAACCCTTGTGTCAAAATTCCCAGCTCATGCTTCTCTTTTTATTATCTCTCTAGTCCCACACCCTTTTGCTGGCCAACTAGATGGCACCCTCTGAGGCTCAGCTGAGCTGTGTCTTTTTTTTCCATAAAGACTTGTAAAGACTTGCATTTGTCTTTTTTTTTTTTTTGCTAAGCTGTATTTTTCACTAATGTTCACACAGTGCTCATGAGGCTCTTTCTTGCTGCCTTTGCTACTTTGTACTCAGTTGTTTGTGTCTATCACAACTGGTTATGGGCTTTCCCCAGACACAAGATGGCTTATCTTTTTGTTACTAACGTAAAACTGATCCTTGACACATGGTAGGGCCCAAAGGCTGGCAGGATCTACATCATATAATGACGAAGTAGACTAAGGTGGAAAAGACCAATTATTAGATACTGATTTATCAGTTTATTTAGTGATTTACTTAAGGCGTTGCTTGTACTGCTTGTTTGCCAAGGATGACTTTGCTTACTACTTGAAACAGAATGATCTGGAGAAATAGCTGAAACACAGGTCATGGTTCTTAAAATCCTGTTGACAGCCCTGTACCCTTCTGTAAAATCTTCCATGCTTGCCTACTCCACCTTGTAATTTAGAGTATAAGATGCCCATATGGATTAGACCTGGGATCTGAAGGCTTTCAGGAGCCATCCTGGTGACATCTCCTCTCTTCCCCGCTCATTGGTGTCAGAGTGCCTATTCCAGAAAGATTCCCACAGTCATTGTGATTATTAGCTTGTCCTAACTTATTTGGATTTTTTCCTTGCCTAGTGTCACCCAACAGGATTACATATACTCCAGAATGGCTCTACAAGGACCTCATCTCAGAGCACAGAGGACTCAGAAACTTAATAAACATGGAAATGCGCTCTGTCTCTCAAGGGATACTGATTTTCTCCCACAGCTGGGCTGTGGACCTGGGTCTTCAAAAGAAGCAGGGTGTCATCTGTGATGCTCTTCTGATTTCCCCAAACAATGTCCCAATCCTGTACACCATTTGCAACAGGTGGGATCTGGGGTACAGGAAGTATTCTATGATAGTCTCCCAGACCCTGAAGCAGAAGCTGGTGAACATGGGCGGATACACTGGGAGAATAGGCATCATTCCCTTGGCCTTGCAGCTGGGTCAAACACGAAGGGACAGGTTAGAAACGCCCATTTACCCCGAATCCTATAACTTCACAAGTGTGCAGCTGATGGAAGCTCTGTTGCAATCCCTTGTGATCGTCTCATTAGGGTTCAGATCCTTCCTAAGCAAAGAGTTTATCTCTGAGGTGGTGACGCTACTCACAGACCAGCAGTACCAGCTGCTTTTAAAGGATCTTTGCAAGAACAGAAAGCTGTTTGTTCATGGCACACCTGGATCAGGGAAGACCACTCTGGCCCTCAGGATCATGGAGAAGATTAGGAATGTGTTCAGATGTCAAACTGACGACATTCTCTACATCTGTGAGAACCAGTCTTTGAGGAGGTTTGTGAGGTATGTAGCCTGACTCCATTCGTTTCTTTCTGTTGGGCAATTTTAGTGAGTGTGGCATTCACAGGCTAAGCTCTGGGTTGTAGTAACCATGTTCAGGAACTGTAACTATAGTTTATGTTGACTTACTTCTCTTGGCTGAAGAAACCTGACTGTGTTTCTTACACTTGCAGCCGGAGAAACATCTGCCAGGCAGTGACACGGACAGCCTTCATGAGAGATACCTTTGCTAACATTAAACACATTGTTGTGGATGAAGCTCAGCATTTCCGAACTGAAGATGGGGACTGGTATGCAAAGGCAAAATCCATCATCCAGAGAGGGAGAGATGGTCCAGGAGTTCTCTACGTTTTTCTGGATTATTTTCAGACCAACCACTTGTGTTGCAGTGGCCTCCCTGAGCTCCAGCACCAGGAGCCAGTTTTGAAGCTCACCAGGATGCTCCGCAATGGAGACAACATAGTCAATTACCTACAAGGGATAATGCAGAAAATCAGAGATAATCCTCCCCCAAATGTCCCCCCAGAAGCCCTGAACATGGGCCAAGAACTTGAATTGACTCCAAAGGTCACAGACAGTTTAGAGACTTACTTGAAATTGGAACGGATGGCAAACTTTATAGCAGAGAAGTGCTGGTGTCTCTGGGGGTCTGGCTATTATTACCCCAGGGATGTTGCTATTCTTTGCAACAAAGCCAAAGATGTAGTAAAATTTAAAGAAAAGATTCTCCTAGCATTGAGGAGGAGGACCATGTCTCAGACCAGTGTAGCAGTGCAGGTCAGGGAGGAGTTGGATAATCCGGGGAATCACATCGTGTTGGCTGCTGTTCACCAATTTTCAGGCATGGAAAGAAGCATAGTGTTTGGGATCATTCCAGAGGGATCGGAGACAGACATTTCTTACAATGTTCTGCTCTGCCTGGCTTCCAGGGCAAGAACCCATCTGTACATTATAAGGGTTTAGCTTTGATAAGAAGATACCAGTCTTCAATTAGATAGGGCTGGTCTCTGGATGACTTTGAAACTCTTTGATTTCAACATTTACACAGCAAAACATTTCCTGTACAGCCACCTGCCAAGTCATGTACTCTCCTCGATTACAAGCGCGAAGAATTCAGATAGTAGTAAGAGAGACCAGGGTAATTAGCTGGCACTGAGATCTTTTTCTCTCTTATAGTTGTGTGTGTGTGTGGTGGTGGTGGGGGGGGATATTGTGGTGCACACCTTGAATCCCAGCACTTGGGAGGCTGAGGCAGGTGAATCTCTGTGAGTTCAAGGCCAGCCTGGTCTACAAAGTGAGTTCCAGGACAGCCAGGGCTACACAGAGAAACCCTGTCTTAAAAAACAGATAACAACAACAAAAAGACAAAAGGGTCAAAAAACAATATGCTGGGGAAATGCTGGCAGCAAAGGTCATAATTTAGTTTCTTTCCCCCTCTAAAGTTCCTATACCTGGTAGTTTAATCGCAACACTCAGGAGGCAGAGGCAGGTGGATCTCTGAGAGTTTGAGGCCAACTTGGTTAATATAGTGAGTTCCAGGCCAGACCGGGTTGCTTAGCGAGACCTTGCTTCAAAAATTTCTTTTCTATACATAACAGAAAATTTCCAGGATTAAAAGAAAGTAGGACAAAGAATGCAATAGGCGGGGCTGGAAAGATGGCTCAGTGGTTAAGAGCGCTGCCTGCTCTTCCAAAGGTCCTGAGTTCAATTCCCGGCAACCACATGGTGGCTCACAACCATCTGTAATGAGGTCTGGTGTCCTCTTCTGGCCTGCAGACATACATACAGACAGAATATTGTATACATAATAAATAAATAAATATTTTTTTTAAAAAAAAGAATGCAATAGGCGGAATAGGTGGAAAGGCACAGGAGTTTAAATAGTTCCTACACATAGAGTGATTGCTTATGGGGGCAGCAGTGTGGCATAACCAGCAGGAGTGATGACGTGCCATTTAGTGGGAAATACTTCCGTGTACTGTACTTCCAGAAGGATCTAGCAATGACCATGAGAAGCTTGAATGCTTATAAATTTAGCTTGAGATTCCTCTCTAAGGCACTTACTCTCACAGAGAACTCACACATGTGCAAAGATTTCTGGGTGGAAGTATAGGGTTTTGCTTCTAGTAGCAGAATGCAGAACAGTAGTAATGTTGATTCAGATGGCTAGAAGGGAGTAATTTGCAGACTGTCACAGCATCCATCACGTCATGGAGCCAGAAAAGGTGAGATCTTCATCACATTTGTGTGGGACCGTCTCTAAGATGTTTTGTACTGTGAACAAAGCATCATTCAAAACCATGTCTATCTTATGCTTCCAGAGTTGAGTCGTTGCTTTTAGATGCATTAAGGATTTTTGGAAATGTATCTTAAAAATTGGTAGCAGTATTTGACTCTGGGGAAGGGAAATTGATGCCAAAGGGAGCACCCAGCTTTTGCTTTTTATGACTTTAGGTTCTGTACCATGTAATACTCGATGGGATCTTGCCTTGGGTGTGTTTTTACTTATGAATGTAATGGCTTTATGAATCACTTTCTCAGTTTTTATCAACCTGTATCCCAGATAAGCATTTCATAGTCAGAGTGAATGTTGATGTATAGTGAGTGGGGGATTTGAAAACTACACAAAATAGATTTTTACCACATAGAATTTTGAAGTGCTGACTCACTGTCATATTTGTTTCAAGCTTTATTTTTTTTAATAAAGGACATAAACTATTGCACCTATAATGGAATTATCCTTTCTTCTTTTGCATCTTATTGCTCTTTTTTTCCTTCCCTTAAGGACAATGACAATCAGGTTTTTGGGATATTTGTTAAGTGTTCACACACACACACACACACACCACACACACACACACACACAGGTGATGACATCAGACCACACTAACCAATAGAATAAAGTCAAGGTGGAAGGCAAGACTGGGAATTCAAATGACTGACATTTGGTTTCTATGGCAACAATAGTAATTGTAAAGATAGTAGAGGTCTGGAGAAACTGCCCAGTCAATGAGTTGCTTGCCATGCTGAGTTCAGAAGCTAGAAACCACAGAAAGAAGTGGGGCGTGGTGATGCACACATAATCCCAGCACTGGGGAAGTGGATACAGGTTTTTGACCTATTTGAGTTTCTGCCCTGACCTCCCCCAGTGATGGGCTGGTACCTGGAAGTGTAAGCAAAACAAACCCTCTCCTCCCCAACTGGCTTTCGGTCATGGTGTTTTGTCATAGCAGTAAAAACCCTAACAGTGTGCTTGGCCATCAGCCCTGGTGCTGTCTGCTCTTCCTGCAACTAGCCCAGCTTACCTTTCCTTGATAAAAGGCCACAGGCATAGACAAAAAGGAACCCAGACAGGGCTTTACTGAGGTCTCTGCTGTAGCACCAGGGGACAGTGCCCAGGAACAAGGTCTCCTGGACTTGGACATGCTGACAATGAGAGCAGGGACAGCTTAGATAACCCTCTGGAGCAATGGTAGCTGTCCTAGAGTCTCGTTAGGCTGTCCCCATGGTGGCCTTGCTCTGGAACAGATGAGGTGGTTTCTCTAGGAGCTATGCAAGGACTACTACGGTTTCTGTGACCTGGAAATCTCCTTGCAGCTTGTGCTGCTGAAACCAAGCCCTTCAAGCAGCTGTGACTTAAGGCAGCCGGAGCCAGCAGAAAGGAGGAGTTGCTTGACAGATAGCATCTGCAGTTTCCACAAAAGTCGTGGCAGTGGGCAGGGAGATAGTCCAGCAGATGGAGGCACTTGGCACCAAGCCTGACAACTTGAGCCCTGTAACCCACACAGTGGAGAGAAAGCAGAGTTCGCAATTGCCTCTGACCGCCAATGAGTGCTTTGGTACACATGTCTCCCTGACACAGTAAATACATACATATGATTTCTAAGTATTAACAGTCTGGGTTTGTGAGGATGACAGTAACGGCTCTGGGAACTGGCTTCTTTCTTCCTTACTTTAAATCATTTCAACAAAGCTTCCTTCGCTCACAATTCCAGTTGTTTAAAAGATAGACTTCTTCGTGTTTGTCCCAAAGATCTGTCAGTTCCCTAAGAAACCCAGGACAAGGCTTGGACCACACCTGTGGCTCCTGCCAGTACTTCTCACCACGTCCCCTACTTTAATCCTCTCCAGCAGATTCCTCTGCCCAGCTTCTCATTCCGCTATAAACCAGTCACTTCAGTCATCCACTCTCTTGGTCCTAGGCTCCTTTCTTGGTCTGCCTATCCTCTCTTCTGACCCCCTCTCTCCCTCTCTTACTCAACCCCACTCTTTTCTCTCATGGCCTGGTTCAGTCTGGACCCTTCCAGATGCTTCTTGCTGTAGTCTCCCTCATATCTACAATAAAACCCTTCTCCTTAACAAAGCCTAGGAGCAGCCATATCTATCTTCCTTTTCCTTCAGGATCTAATTATTATTAAATATTAAATCATTTTTCCCCCCAGTGGATTTTATCCAGTTTTTAACTCCTAGCCAACTGACTTTACAAAGAGATAGTATATCCCCTCGGGGAAGGTCAAACTTCCCTAATCTGTCCCACAGCGACACACAGGGCGAGGTTCCAAGGCTATTGAGTAATTTTGCCTTGGAAAACAGAGATAACAATCTCTTTGCTATTTCCTGCTATGTAAGAGATGACTCCCCAACTCACTCCCCTTCTTTTGTAAAATAGTTTTTAAATTAAATTAATTTAAAGTTAAGGCAAAAATGCACAAAGATTAGTAAAAGAAAAAAAGTGTTAAGAGTTCGGAGGGCCACCCTGCTTCTCCTCTTCGCATTTCAGCAAAATAACCTAAAGCCTTAACTGAGAGAATGCTGGGAGTCCACATCTTGGTGACCGAAAAGCCAAAATTTCCACAATCGAGAAGCGTTTGTTGCCTGCAGCTGTCAAAGAATATGAGGGTCATTTCCAAAACAAGGTTCTTCTCAAGCAAAAGTGGAACCGGGGTCCTGCAGACACTCATACGGAGCAGGGGTAGGGGGTATGTCTTAGTTACTTTTTATTGCTGTGACAAAACACCATGTCAAGAAAAACTGTTTTCAAAAGCATTTAATTTGGGGGCTCATAGTTCCAGAGACTATCATGGTGGAGAACATGGCATTGGGCAGGTGAGCATGTGTGATTGCTAAAGCTTTCTTTCAAGTTTAAATTACTGTTCTTAAGACATTTATAGGACAAAAATGCTCCTAGCCTGTAAGTCCCACTGTCCACGGACAGATGGGATGCAGGAGGTTCATGTAGGATAGCAGGTGCAGTATTTTCACTTCTGTAAACGAGAGTGGGCTGACCAATTGCACAACATGTATGCTTGATCACGTGTAGGCAGGAGGTACACAGTCAGGACATATATCAGGATGTATGCTTGTTTCTGATTGGATGAAGGTGTGAAGTACACAGACCTGTATGTTTTGCCTCGATAAGCCCCTGATTTATGTAATGTCCTACTCTTGGAATCCTAGGAATGGACCTGGCCAGTATCCATGGACTTGACTGGTATTTAATAAAGTTTGCTTCACATTTGGCTCAAAAAATTGTGGTGTTGGACCCTAAAGTCCAATCACCAAGGAGGAGTCGCCCCAAGAGACCACTCTTTTTTTTTAATATTTATTTATTTATTATGTATACAATATTCTGTCTGTGTGTATGTCTGCAGGCCAGAAGAGGGCACCAGACCTCATTACAGATGGTTGTGAGCCACCATGTGGTTGCTGGGAATTGAACTCAGGACCTTTGGAAGAGCAGGCAATGCTCTTAACCTCTGAGCCATCTCTCCAGCCCCAAGAGACCACTCTTATACCGCAGTTGATGTAAAAGCAAGAGGATTTAATTCTGTCGCAACAGGATCTTTCAGCATTCGAGAAGCCAAAAGACCCCGAATGACTGTTACATGCTATTTTTAAAGCAAAAAACCATAGAAGCAAGGCGGGGAAACTTGAGGGTTGTTTTTCAACTATTAGGATTGGCTTATTCAAAGGGTTACTAATAATAATTGGTCTGTGCCCGGGCTGGAGAGCAGTTGACAGATCAGGTAAGGTAAGAGGGAACATTTAAGGGTTACTTTGACCCCTTCCCAGGGACTAAGTCAAAACATCTGTGGACATCTGTGGGTTATCTTATCCCAATTCCAGGAGTGGAGCTCTATTTGGAGAACATTCACAAGGACACAGGGAGATGGAAAGTCCCCAATATTCCAGTAGGTGCTCGTGCAGTTGTTAGGTTCTGGGGGGCTGGGAGCACTAAGGCTGAAAGCCTCAGAAAATAGCCTCAGAGTTGTCCTAGAGTTCTACAGTGGTAGTGGTCTTGTTCTTGCCCAATGGAATTAACATTTTCTGGAGTCTCCAGAGAGATTGGTCCACTCAAAGTCTAAAGCCAGACCTTTACACTGGGACTCCAAGAGCTGAAGGGTCACCTCAGGAGGTGTGTCCCTTGAGACGTTCCAAGTCTCCAAGGTGTGCCTTCGGTTTCGAAGATTATAGAGTGAACTGTGACTCTGAGAAAAGCAACAAGCATGTGCAGAGGCACCCCATGGTAAGTCACAGTAATTTCTGTGACATCTGCTTCTGTTGGGATCTTGATCTAGGATGAGGAGGGTTATGATGGGACCTGGTACTCTCCTGTTCAAGCTAAAAAACAAGATATCGTACCTGCCCACCTGAGGTTCTTGTTTGTGTGTGTGTGTTTTTTGGTCTTGTTTGTCTTGTCTTTGTATAAGTTTTGTTGCAGACATGGGAGCTGAGATGGAAATGGGCTAGGTTGAGTTGAATGTATGAATGATGGTGGCCACCACCTATTTTGCCTATTTTGCTTTTGACTGGTCTCCTTTGAAGGCATGAGCTTACTGTGTTCTGTGTTTATTGGTTTTGGTTTTGCTGTCTCTGCCTCCACTTGCCATTTGTCATGGCTGCTTAGATGGCTCAGAGTTTCTTATCTATGAGCTTTCTGGTCACTGGACTCAGTTTAGCAGGGATTCAAATGCCTTATGAATATGGATAATATTCAAGTTGTTTTATGCTATTCTACTTTATTGGAAAGCTGGTTTGGGGACTGGGTTAGGACTCTCTCCTCTAGACCCAAGCATGCTTATTTAAAAGTCTCTTTTCTGTCCTGTGTCAGGTGAGTCATCTGCTTTTGTGACAAGGAAAAGAAAGCAAAGAAAACCATAAAAAATTAAACTATTGGTTTTATTTAACTGTCTAAAACTTTTGGTAAGATATAAATCTTGTCTCAAGATTTGTAAGATTGTTATGTGAATCTTTTGTACCTCTCTGGGTGGTGGCAGCCCATGCCTTTAATTCCAGCACTTGGGAGGGAGATGCAGGTGGATCTCTGTAAGTTTGAGCCAGCCTGATCTACAGAATAAGGTCCAGGACAGTCAGAGATAAACAGAAAAAAAAAACTAAAAAAAAATCTTCTGTACTGCAAGATTTGTAAGTTTATTGGGTATGGTTCAAATTCTGTGACAAAAAGTTAACTTAAAACTTATAACACAGGGGTTGGTAGTTAAAAATCTATACATAGGTAATCTTAAAGGAGTCATGTGCTTTGACACCATCTTGAGATACAAACAACATGTGGCTTGCCACCATCATAGCTGCTGTCCCGCATTGGGATAGAGGCAGTCACGTGACTGGCTGACATTGCTTGTTAGGGCTGGAGTGGCTGGATGTCCTGTGACTTCACCATCTTGATTAAAGATGACCATGTGGTATAAACCAACCAAG